GGGGGTGGTCTTTGGACTATTTGGGCGGTTCCTGGAGGGGTCTGAGGGGTCCTTGGAATGCCTGGGAAGGGGGTCATGGACCTCCCCACCCACCGGGAAAAGGGCCCCGAACCCTCCCCCATCGTTGCGAATGGGATCGCGGACCCCTTCCCAGGAATGGAAGAAGGATCACGACCCCTCCTTAGGAATGGGGGTGATGGATCCCCCCGACCACTGGGAAAGGGGTCACGGGTAACGAGGGTCGCACCGGTAACGAAGAACGACACGAGACAAGCGGATTTTTGAGCACTTTATTAACGATTTTAAGATCCAAACCGGCCTCCCGGGAGCCCCTCCGGTGCCCGCGCGGTCCAGCGGCGTCTCCCCGTCCCCACGCGGACCCTGTGGAGCAGAAAAGCGGCGGTGAAACGGCGGCCCCGGGACTCCCCGGAGCCGCCCGGGCAGGGTGAGTCTGTCTGTCTGTCCCGGCGTGTGAGGGTGGGACCGGCGGACGCGACCGCCGGCACCGAAGACTTCGCGCCGGTCTCTGCTTTCCCTCCGCACATCACAGACCCCGGCACGGGCCCGCCGGGGCCCGCCAAGAACGGGAGGAACCTTCCCGGTGCCCCACCACGGACCCTCCCGCTGACTCCCGAGTCGCGCTCCCCCCCCATTACCGACCCCGCTCCAATAACGAGCCGCCCTCCCGGTACGGAAAGAAAGCCTGAGCTTTGTGCCTCTCATTATATACCCTCGGTTGTGGGCGGGGTCGCAAGCGCTACCCACCAATCAGCGACGGCGCGCGCGCGCGCAGGAGCCAATGGCATTCCCGCAGAGAGCGAAGGGCGGGTCTTAGCCACAAAGAGGGGCTTCCAATCAGAGGCGGAGGCGCGCGGGCACGGGCCAATGGATGCCCGAGGAGGGAGGGAAGGGCGGGGATTATAGACCCGGAAGTGAAGACAAACCGGAAGCGGGTCTCTAAGACCGCGTGGGAGCGCGATGGGGATTGGGGGGAAAATCAACCGGCCCCGGACGGTGAACGGAGGGTCCGGGAGGGTCCCGGGGGGGCCTGGTGGGGTCCGGGGGGACGAAAATAAACGTGGGGGTGTCGCGTGTTCCGGTGGGATCGGGAAGCGCGGGGCGGGGGATGTTCCGGTGCCCGTTAACCCCCTGTGCCCCTCCAGGAGCTCCGTAAGAAGCTGTTCAAGCGGCGGCGGGAGCTGGCGCGGGGGCGGCGGCAGAAGCGGCGGTGAGACCCCCCCTACCCTTTACCCCCGCGGTGCCCACCCAGCCGGTGCCGGTGGCTGAGGGCGGTCCCTGGGGTGTCTCCGGTGCAGGTCGGGCCCGGCGGTGTCGGTGCCGCCCCCGCTGTGGGGGAAGAGGCGGCGGAAGGAGCTGAAGCGGCTCCGGGGAGCGGCGAAACGGGGTAAGAATTCTGGGGGGGGAGCACCAGCGGTGTCCCGCGGGGGGCTGGGACACGACTGGTGACACCTCTGACCCCCTCGCCGGTGTCCCCCCAGCGCTGGAGGCGGCGGCGGCCGCGGGGAGAAAACCGGAGATGGAAACGAGAAAGGGGAAAAGCGGCGACGTGGAGATGGAAGAGGAGGAGCCCCTGGGGACAGCGGGGACAGCCACGGAGACGGCAGAGACACCCCCGGGGACANGGGTGTCACCTCCCTGGCACCGGTTTGTCACTGGGGTCACCAGTGTCACCTCCCCAGCACTGGGGCCACCTGTCCTTCACTGGGATCACCTGACCCTCACCGGGGTCACCTGAGTCCCACCAGTGTCACCAGTTTGTCACTGGGGTCACCAGGGGGGGCACCAGTGTCACTTCCCTCTCCCCAATGTCACCGGGGGCACTGGGGACACCGGTGTCACCTTCTTGTCACCAGTTCATCCCCAGGGTCACTGGTGTCCCCTCCCCAGTGGCACTGGGGACACCTCCTGGCACTGGAGTCCCACTAGGGTGCCCAGTTTGTCACCAGGGTCACTTTGGGGGCTGATTCTCAGTTGTTGCTGCTTATTGTTATTATTTAATGATTCATTAAAATATTCCCGTTTATTTTCTTTGTCCATCGTTGTCGACGCCGTCCCCGGAGTACAAGGAGACCGGGGCTGGAAAACTCCCAGTTCACACCAGTGACCCCAGTCTGTGTCCCCAGTTCAGACCAGTGACTCCAGTCTGTGTCCCCAGTCCCTTGCCACTGTCCCCAGTTCACACCAGTCTCCCCAGTTCACGCCAGCAGTCAAGTCGGTGGCTCTGTCTGTCGGTGTGTCTGTCTGAGGGGGAGAGGGGAAACCCCATGGGAGGAAGGGGACACTCCCCGGGAGGAGGGGACACCCCTGGGGGGCGCCTTTCCCTGTGACACCGGGGGGGGGGCGGAACCTCCGCAGGGCGGAACGATCGTGCGCGGCCGCGGGCGCGGGGGGAGAGCGCGGGGTGAGGCCCCTCCCGGCGCATGCGCAGCCGCCCCGGCCCGGCCGCCGCCGCCATGTCGGCGCTGTGCGACCCCCCGGGCGGCGCGAGCCCCCCCAGACCCCCCCTCAGGTACCCTCGGGACCCCCCCGGGGATGGGACGGAACCCCCATGACCCCCCTCCCCCGGGAACTCCTCCCACCGGGACCCCCCGACTCGGGAACTCCTCCCACCGAGACCCCCCCCAGACCCCCCCTCAGGTGTCCCCGGGACCCCTCGGGGATGGGACGAGACCCCTGGAACCACCCCTATACACCCCTCCCATCAGGAACCCCTCCCCCCCCCGGCTCTGGGCCAGGACCCCCCCAGGCCCTCCCTCAGGTACCCACGGGACCCCCCCGGGGATGGGATGGGACCCCCCGACCCGGGAACGCCTCCCACCGGGACCCCCCCTCTACCCCCCTTTGTCCCTTCCACCAGCTGCCCCAGGAGTTGAAGGACTCCCCCCTTGAGGGGGGTGACATCCCAGGGAGGGTTCCGGGGGTCCCTCCACCCCTCTAACCCCCCTCTAACCCCCGGTTCTCCCCCTGCCCAATTGCCCAGGAGCTCTCCCAGCAGATCAAGGCTTTCCTGATCTGGTGGTGGGTGGGGTGTGACACCCCCGGGGGTCCCTCCACCCCCTCTAACCCCATTTTTCTTCCCTCCCCAGCGCCCAGGAGCTGTCGCAGGAGATCAAGGCCTTCCTGAGCGGGCTGGACCCGGTGCAGGGCACGCCGCTGTCGCCGCCGGCGCACGCCCGCTGCGCCCTGCGGCTGCTGCGCTGCCTCCCGCCCGCCCGCCACGCCGCCCTGCACCACCTGCGGGGGCTCTTCGACGAGCAGGTCTGCGCCCACCTCCTGCAGCGGGAGGGCCCCCCGGGAGCCCCCAAGGCCGGCGCGGGCGCCGAGGTGGTGCAGGAGGTGCGCGGGGCGCTGGCCGAGTTCGTGGGCGCCAACCCCAAGGCGTGGGCGCCCGGCGTGGCCGCCTGGGCCAGCGAGCTCATGGGGCAGCTGAGCAGCAAGTACGCCGGGCGGCCCGGGGTGCCCCCCGCCGCCAACCTGAACGAGCTGCTGCAGCTGTGGATGGGCTGCCCCGCCACGCGGGCGCTCATGGACATCTACACGCAGTGCCTGTCGGCCATGGTGGGCGGCTGCCCCGACGCCTGCGTGGACGCGCTTCTGGACACGTCGGTGCAGCACTCGCCGCACTTCGACTGGGTGGTCGCCCACATCGGCTCCTCCTTCCCGGGCACCATCATCAGCCGGGTGCTCTCCTGCGGCCTCAAGGACTTCTGCGCCCACGGGGCCGCCCCGGGCGACGCGGCGTTCGCGGCGGGGCCGGCGGGCGCCGACAAGAGGGCGCCCAAGATCGCGTCGGTGGTGGGCATCCTGGGCCACCTGGCCTCGCGCCACGCGGGCTCCATCAAGCAGGAGCTGCTGAGGATGTTCCACGAGAGCCTGGGCTCGGGCAGGGAGCAGCACAAGGCCACGGTGCCCTTCCTGCTGCAGCTGGCGCTGATGTCGCCGGCGCTGCTGGGCACCGTGTCGGCCGAGCTGGTGGACTCGCTGAAGCCGCCCGTGCTCAACCAGCTGCACCAGCACTTCTCGGCGCTGCCCCGCGACGAGCTGGAGCACGTGGTGGGCGTGGTGGTTCACCTCATCTCCCAGACGTCGGCCGGCGCCTTCCGCATCCTGCAGTTCCTGGTGGGCACGGCCATGCCCGCCTCCGTCATCACCTCGTCGCAGCCGGGCCCGCCGCTGCACGACGGGGTCCGCGAGGGCTGCGACCGCCTGGTGCAGCTGCTGCTGCTCAACCTGCAGAAGCTGGTGCACGGCAGGGGCGGCCCCGCGCCCGCCGAGGGGCCCCCGCGCCCGGTGCCCTTCCTGGAGGCGCTGCGGCCGCACGTGCGGGAGCTCTGCGTGGAGACGCTGCGGCTCGAGAGGAAGCGCTTCCTGTGGCAGCACCAGCTGCTGGGGCTGCTGGCCGTGTACTCGGCCCCGCACGGCGCCGCCGAGGCCCTGTTCTTCCTGCTGGCGCTGGCCAAGACGCCCGAGGAGCTGGCGCTGGCGCCGCAGCTGCACGCCGTGCTCTGCGCGGTGCTGCCCGACCCGCTGCCCGCGGCGGTGGCGGCGGCCGTGGCGCAGATCCACGCGGGGCGGCTGCCGGAGCCGCAGCTGGCGCAGCTGCTGCGCAACCTGGCGCTGCTGCTGCAGTGGGACGGCGGCGGCGACGCCGGCGGGGCGGCGAGCGCGGCGCTGGGGGCGGCGCTGGCGCGGCACCTGCCGGACCTGGCGCAGCTGCTGCTGCACCCCCGCGCCGAGGTGGGCGACGCCGCGTGCCGGCTGCTGGCCGCCTGCCCCTTCCCGCGGGCGCTGCCCCCCGCGCACGTGCTGCCCGCCGTGCGCGCCGCCGTCCACCACTTCTTCCTGGCGCTGCGGCGCGGCGACGCCGCCGCCCTGGCGCCCGCGGCGCGGCTGCTGGCACGGCTCAGCGCCGTGTCCGGCGCCGCCGCCAAGGCCGTGCTGGCGCAGCTGGTGGAGGGGGCCCTGCGCGGCCGCAACGCCGAGCTCTTCGGGGGCACGGCCGAGCCCCGGCCCGGCGCCGAGGACCCCCCTCCGGCCGGGGAGCCCGGCGGCGCCGGCGTGTCCCTGCTGGACACCAACCGGCGCTTCAGCGCCGCGGTGAACTCGGCGGGCGGCGTGTGGTCGGTGTTCCACGCCGGCGTCATCGGGCGCGGGCTGAAGCCGGCGGCGGGCGCCGGGCGCCGCGACCCCGAGGAGTTCGCCCGCAACACCCACGCCTTCCTGAGCCTCCTGCTGCGCTGCTGCCGGGGGTCCCGCCCGGGGGAGCCCGACCCCGGCGTCAGCCCCGAGGCCGCCAAGGCCGTGGCGGCGGCGCTGGTGGAGTCGGTGTGCCCGGAGGCCGCCGGCGGGGACCTGGCGTGGCCCCCCGAGGAGCAGGCCCGCGGCACCGTGGAGCGGGACCTGCGCATCTGCCGCCGCTTCCGCGCGCAGCCGCTGCTCTTCCCGCTGCTGCGCGTGGTGGCCGCGGGGCGCCCGGCCCTCTGCTACTGCTCGGGGCTGCTGCGGGGGCTGCTGGCGGCGCTGGTGGCGCACTGGGACGCCTGCCGGGACCCCCGCACCACCGCCTCGCCCTGGCACCTGCAGGCGTCCTGCGCCCTCGTGGCGCTGCTGGCCGAGGGGTCGCTGCTGCCCCCCGTGCTGGGCAACATGCACGAGCTGTTCCCGCAGCTGGCGCCCTTCGAGCTGCACCTGCTGCTGCTGCTGGTCTGGGACTTCCTGCGCGAGAACAGCCCCCTGCCCCAGAAGTTCACCTTCCAGCCCCAGCGCGGCACCTTCCGCCGGGACTTCTCCCGCGACGGCGACGTGGGCAAGCACCTGGCGGTGCTGCACAGCGTCCTGCACAAGAACATCCAGCGCCTGGGGCTGCTGGCCGGCAGGTTCTACCCCTGAGAGCCCCCCGAAATGGGGGGTGGGGGGGTCCTGGGGGTCCTGGGGCTGCTGGTGTGGGAGTTCTACACCTAAGAGCCCCCCGAAATGGGGGGTTGGGGGTGGTCCTGGGGGTCCTGGGGCTGCTGGTGGGGGAGTTCTACCCCTGAGAGCCCCCCGAAATGGGGGGTGGGGGGTGGTCCTGGGGGTCCTGGGTCCCTGGTGTGGGAGTTCCACCCCTGGGGCTGCTGGTGGGGGGGTTCCACCCCTGGGGCTACTGGTGGGGGGGTTCTACCCCTGAGACCCCCATGGGACTCCCCCAGATGTGGAATTTGGGGGGTCCTGGGGGTCCTGGGGCTGCTGGTGGGGGAGTTCTACCCCTGAGA